ATGCCCCTCACTCCTGACCTGCAGCCCCCCACCCTCCCCACTTCCACAGAGAGCCCCCAGCTGCCAGGGCTACAGGATCAGGGCCAGCAGCTCCCTGCCTACCCCACCAGCACCCAAACCCCAGCTGTCACATGTGGGAGATGGCAGCTGCTCTGCTGCACTCCAGCCACAGAGGCCGTATCCCACGCCTATGTGTGGCATGGCCGAAGCACAGTGGAGCAGAGCCCAGGGGGTCAGGGGAGGATGCAGGCTGCCTGCTGCAGGGCTCCCCACCCTGCTGCCCTCCCCCAGAGGCCTCTGCAGCCCAGCAGGGGGGACCTGGCACAGGAGGGTGGGGAAATTTGTCATTGTCATTGTCCATTGTCAGGAGCCCGATGCCAGCTGCGCCACCATGGCAAGGCACCCCCTGTCCACCCAGGAGCAGCAGCAGTGCAGAGTTCTGCCCCTTGCTGCTGCCGGGCAGACGGGGCATCTTGCCATGGCAGCATGGTTGGCACAGGGCTCTCAGTGGTGTCTGTGGGAGCAGCATCAATGCTCCCCACCCCACTCCAACCTCCCATGCCAGATTCCACCTGCTGGGCTGCAGAGGTCCCCAGATGGAGGGCAGCAGGGCAGAGAGCCCCAAGCCCACCGTGGACAGCCTTCATCTATCCCTGCCCCATACACAAATCGGGGGAGGTGGGGGGGGCAGGGGGTACATGCTCTCCCATTCCCCTGTCCCCAGAAGTGCAGAGGGGTGGGGAGTCAGCCCTCCGGCTGCCACCCCCAGCTCTGTCCTGCTCTCTGGCCAGCCCCACAGCTGCACACTCCCCAGGTGACTTAAATGTATATTAGATACCTCAGAGCCTTACTTCAGGCTCCTAATGTTTAAAAAGGCAGAAGCTGCTATTTAACAATCATTTTCCAATAGTGTTTAGTTGTATAAAAACAGAAATGCTTTTACTCCTTTAAACAGAGAGTAAACCTTGTCTATTGAGTGCAGCAGAAAGAGACTTTATTTGTCATGAACCCAGTTGTGGGTTATCTCCTTCATAAGAGAACCGTGTGTAGAATAAACCACTCCAACACAGTTTTGACATTTTTAGGCATAAAAGATACACAAAGGTCCTTACCTGAAAAATATCAATGCATTTTGAAAAAACACAGCTAGTCCTGGGTATACGTTAATGTCTGAAAAATACAAGAGTGCAATAAATAGTATGAAATTCTTCTGTATTACAAAAGTATATTTTAATACTGTATTCACAATATTACTGTCTGGACAGACTCAAATTACTGCTTTGGAAGAATATAAAATTTCTCAATCTCACTGGTGTTGACAGATTAACTACATTAAAAACATTACAAAGTTACAATAAAAGGGGCCCAATATATAGCCTGGATTTGATATTGCTGTCTTCTGGTATTTACACAATTCTAAGTTAAATATATTCAATCTTTAGGTCCCTGGCACATGTTATATTTCTGGCATGAATACCTTGTTAACTGTGCCATAAACAGCAACAAGTCATGGCATCATAAAAAAGGCCATCAAGACATTACTCAAAAACTATGTAACATTTGTGCCTGGTTTATACAGCGCCATAAACTAAATGTGTTGTGTGCTCCTGCATCCTGATGTTGACTATCAGCTGACTGTCAGCATCACGGTCTGGGCAGCTCCACATCCAGGACCTGACTGGAGGCTGGATGCATTGTCTGCATCAGCCTGATCCTGATACAGACAATGATGTAGGCTTGCCAGGATCTTGCACCTTAAAGAGCCTTGCCCTGCAGCCACTGACTTTTAAAGCGCTTTAAGGTGCCAGGTCCCAGCAAAACTCAGGGCATGGGGCAGCTCCATGATCTGGCACACAGCCTTCCCCTGCCTAATCTTGAGGATTGGACAGGGGACTACCTGAGTCCAAACCAGGACCAGGGCTGCCAGTGCTGAATCCCAACTCTAAGCTGTGTATCAAGATTCAGCATTGGACCGCCCTGGGGACAAAGCCACAAAAGCTGCCCCCCTGGCCCAATTAGTGGGAATCAGGCTGGGTGCACGTCCAGGTCTCACGGCTGGCTACTCCCTGCTCTGTCCCTGGAAGATGCCAGGCACAGCTGTGGATGCAATTGCTTTTCCCATTCTCAGTTCCATGAGCAGTTTTAAAGAGGCACCCAACATAAGCAGCAGGCAATGGGAAAGCTTCCTCATCCCCAGTTGCATTTGCCTGTTTAGAGAGCCAGCTGGTGCTAGCAACTGGGGTTGACGAAGCTTTCCCAACTCTGCTGCTTGCTCAGACACCTTTTTAACTGGCTGTGGGAAAAAAAAGGCAGTTTTCCTTCCCAATCCCAAGCTATACCATGAGGTGCACTGGGAGCCTAATATCAGGAAGTCTCTCCCCAGTGTTGGTCTTACAGCACCCAGAGAACTTGGGCTCATGACATGCCAGACCCTTAAAAAGTGGGTGTGCAGTTGGGAGCTGCATGCCTGATTTTTTTTACATTCTTAGATGCCCCTGGAAGCAGCACCTGAGGAGGGGGAAGTTCCTGGCTCCCTAGCAGCTGCAGGAGGTTCCTACTCCCCAGCTGCAGGTGTCTCCCAACACTGGCAGTTGACAATGACAACTGGGGTTTGAAGAATTTTATGCCCCATTCCCAGAATGCAGGGCAGATCACGCAATTTGGGGAATGGGGCATAAAATTCCTTAAACCCCAATCATGGAACTTAAATGTCTGCCAGCAACCATGGTGATCTCACATGCCAATATAAGAAGGTTCATAAACAGGATGATCATGTTCCCTAGTCTTAAAACAGGGCATTCCACTCTCACCCTAGCCCCCACTTCTCCAGCATGTTCAGCTGTCTCTGAACTCTGGTTGGGAGCAGGAAGAGCACAGTGGCAAGACAGTCCTGTTTTACAATACCAGTCCCAGGTGTTGCTCTGAAAATGAAACAAAGGCACTAATTTGACCAAACTAGGACGTGTGTTTGAAATGGGACTGTCCCAGCAAAAACAGGACATGTGGTCATCCTAGTCATAAACCCAGAGGAAGAGTTCAGCTCTTATAAGAATGTTGCATGTCTGCAATTAGAAATTTTGGATTTCCTGCTTTCCTGCTGACAAGGAAGGTCTCAGGAATATGCACAGTATAATTTTCAATCAGCACACCCAAGTATGGCTCTCCTTATACAGTGAACTTGCAAAAATTTCAAGTAACTTCAACTGAATGGATATGATGGCAAATTTCACCCTCATTACCGAATAAAATCAACAGTACTAACTGGAGTAGAACATTCTGCACTGTGTTTAAAAATTATTTTTTTGTTTCTACTTTGGAACCGTTCCCTCCTCTCTGCTCAAACATAATGAAGAACTACACTTACTTTGTGTAACATATGCTCCAAAAAGGATCCACATGGAAGCAATAAGTGAACCAAACATCAGCATGAAACCAATAAAGAGCCAGACACGAGCACCTGAAAGAAATATTAAAAGCATTAAAATGTTTTCTTTCATGATTCATTAGATTAGATGACGCGCTATAAAAGACAATACTCAGATCAGTCCATAAGAATACCCCTGCAGACTTTCTAACACATCATCCTCCCTGGGGATGGAAAACTTGTTTGCCTTCCCCCTATAGAGGATGGGATTCTTCCAAGATAAGAGTGATTGTCAGTTATTCACAGAGTTCAAAGTCACCTGTGGGAAGGTTTTGTGCCTTTATAATGGCTCCAGGTGCAACAGGGATCTCCATCTTTTAGCAGTGCATCTCCAGGTGGAGTTATATTACCAAGAACTCCCAATTCGATTCTGCATCACCTCAGTAGTACAATGTTTACAAGCAGTTTCCCCTCCATACAGAGAAGCCAACAATGTGACTTGGTACAGAAGTGAGAGACCTTTGGTTTGGTGGCAGCTATTTTTAAAGTTACTCTACATAAAGATAGAGAAAATCATGTACAAAGTAAAGTTAAAACCCATATATGCAAGCCACCAGGGCCCTCCCTTGTCACAGGAAAGAGTGACTACAAAAGCAAGTGATATAGAAGGCTCAGGAGGAGGGGTTTCTACATCCCTCAAATGAGTTTCCCGCAGGCTCCAAAAAACACAGCACAAAGGGAAACATCTGAGAAGAACAGGAGAGCTGCTGACAGATCCACAGAAACCACCTTATGGGCAGCACATCAGAACAAGAGCTATTCTTCCAATCCATAAGCCAGAGGAAGATTCAGAAAGATCGCAGGCCCTCCCTCTCCCACGACTGTCTTAGGTAGAAGATAGGGATTTCATTCCTCGATGTCCACACCAGACATTCCAGTAATTAATTCACTGAATTGAGATTTTTCTGGCTTTAGTAGCATGTTCCAAATTTGTTTTAAATCTCAAGAGAGCAAAGGGAGGCACAAGGGGGGCAGGACAGCACCAAAAAAAGTGCATCTCAGACAGAAGATTTTTTTAACTTAAGCAAGGAAAAAAATTATGAAGTTTTTATGAAATCAATTATATTTTTTAATGAATTTACGTGGGCATTTTAAAATAGATTAAATAATCCAGCCAAGCTTTCAAACCACACATTTACCTGTTCTTCCTAGACACCCATCACCATAGCTGTCTCCCCTCACCTGTGCATTTGAGACAGCATTTATCCTGGAACAAAAACAATAAAACTCAAGTAAGAGATTTTTAAATGTTAGTAAAAACTTAAGAAAAATTTTAACATAAAATAAAGCTTTTGAAAACATGAAAAAAAAATCCTGAGAAAGTTACTTGTTATGTCATTCCCTTCTAGACACAGACTAGATGCAAGATCTTCATTTAGGTCATCTTGCAATTAGTTCCACAAGGGCAGAATCTTTACATTCAAGCAGAATTTCAATTAAGTCAACAGGGACCACCCAGAGATGGGAGTCTGTTCGTCTACAACCTGTAGGATGTGAACTTTGGAACAGCGAACTGCTTTACTGAAAACTTAATTCTATGTATGACAAGAATATGATATAAAAGGCGCCCCAAAGAGTGATGATAACATGATAAAGACAACACTAAAAATGACATTCTCTGACTAATTGTATATCTCTAATGTAACCCTTTCATACTGAAAAAGCCACTGCCATTTACAGGAAAAAGCCATTTACAGGAAAAAGCCATTTACAGGCGTTTTAGAACTCCCCTTCTCAAAATCCCTCCCCCCCACAAAAAAAAAAGCTATAGAAAAAAAATTGTACCCAATTTGTGTTAATATAAGTTACTGAGCGTCACAGAAGGAGTTTTTTTCAAGGAATCCAGATACTAGTGACAGAGGATCACCTGTATAAAAGAAATGCCTGGTTCCTTATACTGAGCTAAGATACACATCAGTTTTGAAGAATTCAAATTTTAAAACTCTGGAAAAAATAAATTCATTTCTACTAGATAAAGAACAAACAAATACATAAATATATTATATACAAACAGACCTCTGGATTATCCAGAAAAAAAATTCTTGACAATCCAAAGTTTGAACACATTGTATATGTTGGTTAAACTGCTGCTTTAAAAATATATTAATAAGCAATTAAATTGCTATCTTACATGAAGAAGGCAAGTGTAGAAAACACTCCACAGGTATGGAAGGCATGGTTCATTTGTTCTGGCTTAGGGTATACTACTGCAGCATCTATCATTATCCACCAGCCTGTGAAAAACTAGAGTGACAATGAAACTATCACACAGTATTGTGAAAATAGAAAGATGTCCAGACAGACAAGACAGCATGCTAAAAATGCAATCCTTTACATACCACTAATCTAGTTTATAAGTATACCTTTCTTTAGCTAAGAATCAGATTCTAAAATTCCTTGATATATAAATATATATTCTATAAAAACTAGAAACTTGAGTAAACCTTCATATTGATGTTTCCAAAGCAGTATCTGGTACTAGAGATGCTTGTTTTACATAAAAATTGAAAGAAAACATATGGCTAAGTCTATTCTGAAAGGCAGAACTCAAGTTCTCAATCTATGCATGATACAGCTAGATAAAATATGATTTTATCTTATTATGATAGATCAGGGGAGGTAAACCTCTGGCTCCTGGTACCATGCTATCCAGCCTGCATGGTTCCTATGGATCTGAGGATCCCCACAGGCTGTGGTGCTATGCAATCAATCAGGTGAGTAGGGCAACACGGGCCCCCAGAGCCTGATCCCAGTGTATGGGGGCAGCACAGGGCCCAATCTGGCCTGCAGACAAACCCTGTACCATTTACCTGGCTTGCAGGCCAAAACCATGACCACCACTGTGCTAAATACCTTCCAGCAATTTAAGTCAACGCTCCGCGCCAGCAAAAACTATAACAAAAATTTAGCAAATCCAGAGGACTGGTAAAGCTTTTACTAAATAATGAACATGCAAAAATAATGAAGAAATACATTGTTTTAAAAAACACAATTAGCACTGAAGTTTAGCAAATTTGATTTGGGAAGTTTTGAAAATAAAAATGCAAAAAAGCACCATTGCCTCATTAGCCATACTGACAAATCTGAGCTCATTCTCTTTTTATACAAATACCTACCAAGACACCTGCAACCACTGAAGCAACGGCATTTCTTCTTTCGCTCCAATCGATGCACTCGCATTCTGGCCATCGGAAATTGTCCAGGAATCCTGCCATGGCTTTAATGCTTAGGTTTTTCTTCCTTATCAGTACTCTTTCATGAATTTTTCATTAATCATTGAGTCCTAAATACTTAAAACATAGCCAAAAAGTTTAGGAGTATCATCACTTTTTTATTACTAAAAAAATTGTTGACACATTTGGTAATAGTAGAATCCTTGAAAAAGTGTCCTTTCTCCAATCAAGTTTGGTCAAATTTAGGTTACACAAGACCAACCTAAGCAAAAACCAAATGAACCTCCCAATCCAAACACTGAAGCATGACTCTAGATTAATTTTAACTGGTCTTCAGAGGACAACATTCATTAGGGTAAAATCCCAATCCCAGTTTTAGTTTATAACTTCAGATATTATGGAAAGCACTGACGCAGTCCATAATTGGTTGCAGTCAATCATAATTTCAAAATGAACATACTGCTCCACAAGTAAAAATGTGGTTCAAAAAAAAAAAAAAAAAAAAAAAAAAAAAAAAAAAAAAAAATACAGGTATATATCCAAAATTCAGCTTTAAGTATTTATTGGGGTCCAAGATTTAGCTCTTACCTGCAACAATGCACAATGCATCAACTATGATTTAGGCTAGAACTATAGAACTCTGTACTACAGGCAACCCCTGCTTAACGCTGTTTTGCTTAGTGCTATTTACTATAACACTCATTTTAATTGATGTTTGATTTCATTTAGCGCTCAGTGAGTTTCAGTATAACATTCACAGTTGCCATCTTGGGTCATTGAAAACAACTGTGGTTGCCATCTAGGGTTGTCAAATACTTTTGGTTTTACTTAACTCTTGTTTCACTTAAGGTTTGGTTTTTCAGGAACCATTTAAGAATGCTACGTGGGGGTTGCCTGTTTAGCCCAGAAAAAGGTATGCAAGAACACAACAAATAGCTATCACAAAATAAATCGACTCTAGGATCTACACAACTCTCAGCAACATATAAAGATACATATCCAAGTTAGGTAACTCCCAATAATTCCTCCCAGGGAGGTCTGCTCACAATCCAAAGGAAAAGTGAAATCTAGATTTCTTCCCTGCACTTGGCTTGCTGTAAACTTCAGTGTCTTTGAAGTTTGTATCTGTTAATATTTTATAAGTTTTTAGAAGCTGTGTAGTATGAATTATTCATATTTCTGATGCAAGACTGTCTGTGTCAGTAATACTTTGCATTTAGAAATAAATCTCTTGCGACATTACCTTGCCTGCTTTTATATAAAAGCCAAGAAATCATACAAGTTCTTTAAATTCAAGTTCAATAAAGGTATAGTGTTTGACACATCTTTCCCATAAGGTTAAAGCACTATAAATCCCAGGTTTTCCTGGTTTTTTTAAATTCATCCTGACACAGAAATTACACTAAATATATTGTATGCAACCGGCATACTATGAATATTTTCTCTCTTGCAAGAACAGTAAAGGCAGCTGTTAAGAGCTGGGGCTTGAAAAATTACCAGATGCCTGCTTGGCAAAAGAATTAAATCTCCTAGTTATATATCAGTACTAAAGATGAACCCTTTAAATTCCATGATTATTATTTCTTTCCTCCCATAGCAAATACCCCCAAGATGAGGAAAAGGATGCTGAGATTCTTAATTCTGTCCCCAGCCTTGAGCTTCTCCCTATGGTTAGTAAATGTATAACCTAATAAATGTGAAGATGCTCCTACACCCATCTGGCAATTGGAAGGAAGATGAATCACTTCAAAAACCAAAACCACAAACCTCCTAGCTTGCAACGCGTATCAGCTACAGTTGCTTTTTTTCAGTCAACTGGCTGTTCCAGCTTCACCAGCTTTCTCTACCCCCTCTTCAGCTATGAATACCATAGTGCCTCACTTCACTGTGGTTTACAACTTTCCCAAGCAGCAAGTGTGAAATGTATACAATTACTTTTTTTCATTGGTAGATGTCATTCTCAAGATCAGCAACAGCAAACAGTATTATTAATTTTACATTTTGCCAGAATAAACAGTACTGAGAAATATTTAGGATATGAACTTCACGCATACCCCCTGGAGCTAATCTTTTTGGCAAGTGTGGCACAAATTAGCTCAGTACCCTCACCGAGAGCCATTCCCACCCCCTTCCCCTGGAAGACCTACTGCTCTCCTTTCTGCCCCCTGCTCAATCTGCTACTCCATTTTCTACTTCCTGCCCTATCTGCCCTACCATGCTGCCTGTCCTCTTCCCAATCTGCCACATACCACATGCCACAGGCTGCCCATGCCACTTGTGGCACGTGCCATAGGCTGGCCACCCCTGTTCTATGCTTTCTTTAGTCATATACACCTAGTAAACTCATTCTGACCACAACTACACTTTCAATAATTGTCAAACTGAAAATCAGTTTCTACATTACAATTAGAATGCTGAGTCATGAAAATAAATGCCAATCAAGGAAAGTTTGAGCAAATGTTTCGAAAACAAAAAAAGTTGATAAAACATCTGGAAGCAAGGTTAGCACCTACAGACTAACTATGATTCTATAAACCAGAGATGCATAAGCCTTCATGAGCCCAAGCTCATTTTATCAAATGCCATCAATCCCAGCCATTCACTCTCTTCAAAGCAAGAAACCTGCTCAATTTTGAAAGGTTTCTAAAAAATAAGGGCAAAATAAGATTGCTATCAGACTCCTTCCTTACAACAACATTGCAAAAGCATTACAGGAAAGATTAATATTACTGTTCCCCTACTATAACCTATATTAGTTTCCTAAAAAGATACAACATATCCTGCCTGCAAAATCCTCCCTTTTGAGATAAGTCAGACTGTCATAATATTTAAAACTTTAATACATTTGGTAATCTGATCTGCTTCCAACTGAGAAGGTTTTAACTTTCATCATTATACTGGCTTATTAAGAGAGTTTATTCTCTCATTAAAACGTGACCTGTTAGATTTTCAGATGACTTCAAAATCCATTTAGTAACAAATTTTGCATAAAGTCAGTTCTTTTTTAAAATTAAGTCTAGGAAGCCAAAGCATAATGCTTTTTACTAGGACTCAGTTGAACATATAGCCTTTATTTTTCCAACCCAGACTTATATGGATTTATAATATCAGAGCAACTGGCATGCATTAACCCCAGTAAAAACTTTCATAACTCTAGTACTAGATCTACTCAAATCCAAGATGAGGTTTTTTTCCCCTCACCCAATCAGGCTGGGGGAAAAAGGTCTTGCTTTGGATTCAAGTACCAGCCCAAGGCATGTGGCAAGTTAGCTCTGGCTTTGGCCCTGGGCTTGGGGCTGAAGCCTGAGCTGAGCTGCTGCCTGCCCCGGTCTGGAATGGCTTATTTGGCAGGAGAGAGGGCACACAGCTGGGGGGAGAGCAGAGGACAACACAAAGTAGAGGGGGCAAAGGACCTACAGCCCTCCCCTGCCCTGCAGCCTGGCTCCCACTCCTTACTCCCCTCTCTGCACCTGCCCCCTACCCCCTTATCTTCTACTCCAGCTCCAGTCCAGCCAGGAGCTATCACTGCTTTTATCTGCCTGTGGGGTAAGCTGAGGCCACACTGCTGCTGACCGCCCTGGAGCAGGAACAGAGCTACAGCAGAAGGTAAGGGGTGGGGAGCAGCACAGGAGGCAAGGGTGAGGATCAGACAGTAGTGGGGAACATGGCAGAGGGGTGCCTGGCAGTGGGTAAGCAGCAAGATGGGGTGGGGGCAGGAGTGGGGCAGCACCTGGAGGACAGGTACCCAGGACAAAGGGGAGGGGCCTGGCTCCTTACCCCTGCCATAGCAGTGAGGGGATGAATTTAAGACACCCTTCCACTAATTAGATTCTTTACATGGAAAATTGTAACAAATTGATAATTTTCCATGTGTAAAATCTTATTAGTGGGGGGACAGTCTTAAATTGCAAGTCATCTTGGATTTGGGTAAATACAATATTTCAATGATCACAGAAATTATACAGTGCATGCTTGGAAGAAAAAAAAAAGAGTTTATTATTAAACACTTAAAAAAAGTTAAGCACCAGGACAGTGATGCCTGGCTCCTTTTAATTTCTTAAGATTCAGAGGTGAACAGAGTAAGCATTTTTTTATTAATGTATTTTGTGTTCCAGGTCAAAATAGCCAAATCAGTTCCAAATCATATTGATTGAGCAGAACTCAACTGTTCCACTATGTATGGTGCTACAACCAGCAAGTATCCTCTGCCCCAGCCTCTCACCCTGGGACTTCAGATGCTCCCAAATCCATTGGCAGGCATCCTATGTGCACGCCCAATCCCAGAGGTCTTGGGATTTGGATGCCCCCAAAAAGTACAGGCAACCATCCTCCATCCCAGACTCTTTAGCCTGGGACTTCAGGTACTACGAGCATCTACACTATCATAAAAGGACAACAGATAACACAATCCCCTAAACCAGGGTAACTCCACCAAATCTGGTGGGGAAATAGTAAAAAAAACCTAAGGCACAGAACTCTACTGGCATAAATTACATAGTTTAGACGTCTCTCCAAGATTGTTCAGAGATAAACTGTTTGCTAAATACAAACAGGCAAAATACCTGTCCTTCCCACTGCCCCATGCCATGGTGTCTCATACCCCAGGGCAGCTACATAGCTGTCCATTACTGTTCTCAATGTAGTAGTTAGTTTCATAGTTGGTAGGGTCGGAAGGGACCTGAGCAGATCATCAAGTCCGACCCCCTGCCATGGGCAGGAAAGAATCCTGGGGTCAAACAACCCTGGCTAGCTGATTATCTAGCCTCCTTTTGAAGACCCCCAGGGTAGAAGCCAGCACCACTTCCCTTGGAAGTTGGTTCCAGCTCCTAGCCACCATGACTGTGAAGTAGCGCCTCCTGATATCTAGCCTGAACCTACTCACAGTCAGCTTATGGCCATTATTCCTTGTTACTCCTGGTAGTGCTCAGGGGAACAGGGACTCTCCCATTGTCTGCTGGTTTCCCTTGGCCAGTTTATAGATGGCCACCAGATCCCCTCTCAGCCTTCTCTTGTGTAGGCTGAACAGGTTCAGGTTTCATAGCCTCTCCTCGTAGGGCCTGCCCTGCGGCTGCCCCCTGATCATGCGAGTGGCCCTCCTCTGGACCCTCTCAATGCTATCCACATCCCTCCTGAAGTGCAGCGCCCAGAACTAGACGCAGTACTCTAACTGCAGCCTGACCAATTTCATATAGAGGGGGAGGATCACCTCCTTGGACCTGCTCGTGATGCATCTGTGGATGCATGACAAGATGCAGTTAGACTTCCTGACTGCATCCCCACGCTGGCGGCCCATGTTCATCTTGGAGTCTATAATGACTCTAAGATCCTTTTCTGCCTCTGTGCTGACAAGAAGGGAGTCATGTACATTATATCTGCATACAGATGTAAGTTACACTAAGTACCTGAACATCTATCCACACCACTAGTTTTCAGTCACAGTGGAGGCAAGCCAAAAAAGCTGCTGCCTCATTCTCCCTGCAAATCTAACAAATTGCAAAACTATCTTCTGGCATTGCACATTGTTTCCCTTTATCAGAAAGTGCATTCCTTCCTTGTACCTAGTACTGGCTCTGAAATCTGTTTATTGTTGTAACCTTATCTTATAGCCCAGATAAATGGTGGAGCATTTAAGGTGAGCTGATCAGAAAGAATACCAGCAGACAGTACATTTTTGGAGCAAAAGCTTGTAATTGTTAACCTATCTTCCTACTTCAATAGAACCAGAAGATAAATATGAAAAAATTAAGTAACAGAGAATTCACCAATGAAGGGGGAAAAAAAGAATAAATAAAGCAGGAGTCTAACTTTGGATACTTGTTCTGACTTCACAGTGTCAACTTAATCTTGGGTGTCTATTCTGTATCTCTACAACATAATCCTGAATGTCTACTCCAGCATTCAGTGTCGCTGTAGGAGAGTAGATGAGCTCCTTCTGTTGCCCTTTCTTTATATAGCTATTTGTAAAAACTACCACGGGCTACCAAGATAGTGCTTGTAGAATACTGATTGAAAGCACCAACAATTTGGTGGTACCAAGTACTGTATTTGTAAACTACTGACTGATGGTACCAAGAATTAAAGAGATCTCACACTTTCCTGCAAACCAGGCATCAGACTCCAATTAGAACTTCAGCTACCTTTAAAATTGGTTAAGTCTACTGTATATGTGCATAACTAAACACCAGAGATACTCATACACAGTTCTTACACAGCATTTTGTTTTTCAACACCCCATGAGGGAAGGAAGCAAATTATTATTGCCTTTAAAAAAAAAAATTAAGGCTGTAAAGGTTAAGAGACTTCTCCAAAAAGCACATTAGCAAATATAACTCAGATTCACATGCAGGTTTTAGGGCCAGTATCCTCTGCCATATATAAAGAAAAACCTTAGATGTATGTTTAGGTATGTTTTTATCTTGGCAGGCTTACAAGCTGGGAGTATTGGAGCCTGTAATCAGCAAGCTGGGAGCACAATTGGCAAGCTGGGAGCACTGGTTTAGAACCCAGACTCTCGCTTACTGTTCACTTTGCAATGGGAATGGTAGCGTAAGAGTAATGTCATAGCACCAATGGTCCAGAAATTAAAGCAAGAGGCAAGGATTTCTTAATTGGTCCAATATAAGACATCACCCTAAGAAATCCTTGCAGTGAGAATGCAGGCAGGTTGCCTGAGTTCTGGCAGCCCTTGCCTGCCCTTCCCTCCCATTTTCCTCCCCCACACACAAAGGACAAGTTCTGCCACAAACTACTGGGAAAATTCTCCAGTGCCTCAGCACAAAGACCCATGGGGTATATGACCTCTAAACGCACACAGCTAAGCGGCAGAAACAGCCAGGACACAGTACCCCTGGCTCACGGTGGTAAGTGCATGCAGGTTTGGTTTTCCTTGGGTGCCAATCTCCTGGGGCACCCAATGAGGGACCCAGACCTGGAGCTTCATTTCCAAGAGAAAATAAAGCACACTTCTCATGGGAGCAAAGAGAAACAGTGCCTGCCCTCCCCCTTCTGGGCATTCCCCAGAGTGGCCCAACAGCAACTCCACGCCCTGCTGCTGCCTGCAAACTGCTCTCACCCGCCTGCCAGAGGGGAGAGCCGAGGCAGGGGGAAAGCAACACAAAGCCAAAGCACGCCCCTTGCTTTATCCTCCCCTGCCGCTGGCCACAGTTCATCCCCGGCCAGTGTTGCCAGGTGTACAATAATTATCATATCTGTACAATAATTTCAACCCTTGTACAACGTATGATCAATAATAGTAGAAGTGCCCAAAATGTACAATGATTTTTGAGGCAACTGATTGATGCAGCAAATGCAAAACCCAAATCAGCCTCTTTTGGGTTTGCTGCCAGCACTTTCTTATGACTCCTTACCTAGAAATAAAGCATTTTTTTATATAATATATTTCGTGTTCTAGGTCAAATCAGTTCCAAATCGTATTGACTGAGCAGAACTCATTCGGTCCAAAAACCATATTGACTGAGCAAGCAAAACTCAGTAGTCCTAAACAAACACCCCATACAGTGTGACAACTGGCAAGCATCCTCTGTCCCAGTCTCTCACCCTGGGACTCCAGATGCTCCCAAACTCATTGGTAGGCATCCTATGTGCAGGCCCAAGCCCGGAGGCTCAGGTTCGGACACCCACCGACCCCAGCAGTCTTTCCTGCCCAAGTGCAGGGGGGCTGGACCTGATGATCTGTAAGGTCCCTTCCAGCCCCTAACAACTATGAAACTGTAAGCAATCACCCTCCACCCCAGACTCTTTAGCTCGAGACCCTCCCTACACTAGACCTAGCCCACAAGAA